CTTCCTGAGGGTAAAAGATTCTTCTCTTTGATGATGGCATTTATCAAAGAGCTCTTTCCAGCCCCAGTTTTACCAAAGACACCAACCAGCTCCCTCTTGTCTGTCTCCAAATCACTGATCTTTTTCCTGTTGAACAATATTTTAAATATGGGTTAATTGATTCAGTCATGAAAACATTTTTAAACATGCTTTAAAAGTGAGAGTTTAAGAGTTATAATCATGGTAGTGATTTTTCAATGAATCATTACTAGTTTTATACACTGGTTCCACAAATTGTTTATTATATGTTGTTTTATTTTACTACTGAATTATTTCAGCATCTATAATTGTACTGCTGTATGTCAGCAGTCTGTGTCATACAATCTGACACAAGAAAGGAAAGAACCTAAAGGGTTCATGTACAGGCAGCACGGTGGCATGATGTTTAGCACTGTTGTCTCACACCAACATCTGGCTGGGGGACTTTTTATTTTGAGTTTATCTCCATGTTTGCCTCTGTTCTCTCCCAGTACTCTGTCTTTCTCCAACAGTCCAAAGACGTGCAATTAGTACTGATTCTAAATCCTCATCAATGTAGTTACTCATTCCTGTGACTGTTTCTTGGTGTAACCAGTGTGACATCCATAAAGTGTGTTTGGACTGAATTATTTTAATTGTTGCGTTCATGTGAATATACTGCCAATTTTTGTGTGAGTCAAGACTCTTGAAAAGGGACCATCTTCTCTGTGTGACTCAATTACACATAACTAGCAGCTTCTGAGGATGTTTTACAGCCATTTTCTGCATTTTTGCTTTCTTTAAAAACAAACTCTCTGTGATTTGTTTGTGAAACTGTCACGTGATCAGGCGTGGAACCAGGCCCATACATTACAAAATATAAAAAAAACATAATACTCACTTCAAGAAAGCACTGAGTTTGTCTTGGTCATTTAGTCTGGCATGTACAAATGTCATGATGCTTTTCACATCAGACAGTATGATTGATTCTGTGGACAAAGAAAGGAAAAAACTATTTAGAAGGAATTATAAACTAGAATAAACAGAAAATGTAAAATCTCATGTTTAAAAAAAAGAGCAAACCTGTGTGAATTAGAGTATATCAGGATCATAATGTGACCACTTACCAATCAAACTTACAATACCATGCATCGTGTGACTGTTAAATTTTGACAACAAGCCAAAGGAAAAGTAATTTCTAGAATCAAAGATGAAACTGGCATGTTGGGCAAATTGTGCTGCACAGAAATTTAACCCTATAGTGGCTTAAACTGTGACACTGTTTAGTAAGAGACGTAAATACCTGCAAATCCTGGTACAGACAGACGCTGTCGCTTAGCTGGTGACTGCAACCTGCTGGCGTCACTTTGAAGGTCTGATTTTCTCTTTCCTGATTGGATAAAAACAAAAAAAAATAAGAAAAGAAAAACGTGTTTCTCTCAGTAAATTTATTCTTAGTAAAGTTATGTAGATTGCAAAAAATATTGGTGCCACAGACTAATATGAGATGCAATAAATACGATACATGTGTCTCACCTGTATCACTTGTGGATGGCAAGACCTGAGGATGAATACGAGTTATACAGGAAATTATTACTATTTGCATTGGCATTGCTCTTTAACAGCATTTAAAGGACACTAACGTACAAGTTTTACAATCAACAAACTTAAATGCAGTTGTTTTCAACCAGCAGGCTGATACATCATAAATTACCTTTTTCTTAGTAAACATCTGTGAGACAATTCTTTTGCATAATTAAGTCCCTGTCCCAAAGACCTACAGAGACTGTTGGCAAACCCCCTAGCTAGGGCAAAATGTATATTTCCCAACCCCCTATGAATTAGGTTTTTAGATTCAGTCATTTATTGGTTTCTGTAGAGACTGCTCAGTCTCTGTAGACCAGAGAACAGAGCTTTACTTTGTCTCAGGTAGATGGCCCAAATGTCTGAAATTCAGTATAACCCTTACCTGAACCAGACCAGCTGCTTCTTCATGCTCCTGTTCACACTGTTGATAAAAAAAAGTACAAAGCCGTGTAGAATATTGAGCTCTTAAACATGTATTAAAATTGTATTTGTCATATGGACATTAAATCTGAAGGAAAAAACAGTTTTAAACTGACTTGAAAAGAAATGACTGTTTCCTGATTTGAGTTTTGTTCTTCCTACCACAATCAAAACAATTACAATATATTAGCCAAAGGTTAGCTCCTTCTGGCAGATTGTCCCGAGCAGCCGGGGAAACAGGATGACTGGGTGATGATGAGGAGGAAGCAGAGTCTTAAACAGAAGCTCCTGGTACACCACCAATCTGTTCATGTGTCTAACTGTTTTTCCCCACTTTTCGAAACACCTGCCAGGCATCAAACTCTGGTAATTGGTGATTCTGTTCTGAAACATGTAAGGCTAGAGAAACCAGCAAAGACGACCAGAACAGGTGACACTGAGGGAAATGTAAAACTGAAAGGTAAAAATAAATTCAGCAAAACTGTAATTTACGTCGGCAGTAATGACATCCAGTTA